ATAATTCCATTGGCGTTGATGAATTCCATCCATGTAAGCCATAAGAATTGTCTGAGGCAATTACTGAGTCATTGTTAGCGCTTGTTTAATTTGTCGGCTAGCCGGCCTAAGTAACTGTCATTATTATTTTAGTCTTTGGAAAAGAGCTTAGATATTCAATTAAGAATCACCGTTTCCTCAGACAAATTACTATTGTTGTTAAACTACTAGAAAGAATCAACCACTTCGTTGTTATTTCGTATGCTAAAGTAAGTAAACTTCTAGTCAAGGAATAGTCTACTTTTAGGGTAAACCATTCTTACCTGAACAACACTGGTTTCATACATGTGATGCTATATTTGTAAATCACTAGCAAGACTTTCAGTAACGTTCTTTGTCCAGATGACTTGGTAGTTTTGGAGTCAATAAAATGGTCATAACTTCAACTATAAGTTACCTAAGGATATGAGTCAGATTGCAATGGTTAATGGAACCTTACCATGGTAGCCACTGATGAAGCGTGCTATCTCTCAGAGATTGATTCTAGGACCTATTCTTCCCCTACTGTACACAACTGAGATTCCGTTAGGGATAAATTATCCTGTCTAATGGTGTTAAATTGTGAAGGACGTTACACAATCATATTAATCGACTTCCGTCGAAAAAAGATTTGGATTTATTCATTAATTGGCGTGAACACTGGACCTTGAAAACTAATTTTACGTAGAAAATGGTTATGCATGTCACTCATAACAGCATTTAAAATTGATGAATTAGTGGGTTTACTCTACCTACAGTCACCGAATACAAGAATTTCTGAATGGACATAAACGATAACTTGAGAACCTACACATCAGTTGGCTATGAAGGGTTTTAGATTATAACAAGCTTATGAAAAAGCCTATATATGTCGTATCTAATATAAGAGCTCCTTTCGAATGTCTGATCTAGGCAACAGTTCATTTCCTCAGAATATATATATATATATTTGCAAAAGCCCAAAGAAATGGAGGCAGATTGACTAAAAGATACTGAAACCTCTCACAAGAGGAGAAACTGAATCGGCTAGATTTATTTCCATTGTGACATCAGCTTTTTTAGGGTGACTCCATATTTTATGTCAAACGTGCCGATTTATTCTGCTTCTTTTATCTCCCTAAAACTGACCACTTATGGGAATACCACGTCAAAGTTCGAAGCCATGGTCGAATCGTCCGCCCCCTTGGAACTTCATTTCCTATACCGAATTATGGACCAGTGGAATAGGCATAAATTTAATCAAAACAAGAATGAACCATTAGTGTATAGCGAAATGTAAAGGATAATATACAGGGCTGAAAGTCTGCCGTCATCAGTCATCTGTCAACTGTAGATTAACATACTGTGTCAGTATCTGAATGTTTGGGATGTAATTATGCAAAAGATAGGGTCACACACGTTCGATTGAACCACTATATTTGTTTTGAAGCTCAATTTAATTTGAAGTTGCTTCACATAACTTATGACAAATATTTGTGTGACACTATAAGCAACGTCGCTTGATTAACAGTCAAATTCTAAGTAATTTAGAAATGAAGTCAGTTAATCGTTTTTCTAATGCTAAATTTATTTAGTCTGGCTCTATAAACTGCAACAGTTGACAAACCATAACCGAAAGGGATCAGCCCTTAACTCATATGGAGAAACATAGCTTACTAGCAGTGGAACACCTTGGATTCCGATTAGGACGATCCTATCTAACAAACTTACTGTTAGCTAGGAAAGATTCGATCTAGACCAGGGATAAGAACCATCTCCTGGGCGTTGCCTTTATCGATCTTAGCAAAGAATTCGATAAGGTATCCCATTTGGATCTTCTTAGTAAATTCAAACATTTTGGATTAGACCAACGCCTATATAAGTGGCTTAGTGACTACCTGATGGATAGAAGGCAGAAGGTAGGGGTTAATGGTCTACTGTCAGGTTGGAAAGCAGTACTAAGCGGAGTACTTCGAAGAGATTTACTTGACCTCCTGCTATTCCTATTACACGTAAATGAACTGCCGAAAATTCTTACCTCATCTTCCTTACTATTCGCGGATGATATTAGGGTATGGAAAATCGTAAATAGTGACGATGATAGGTTGGTACTACAAAACGATCTAGACAAATTAGCGAATGGGCTAACCCTTGGAGTCTGGAAGTTAATTCCAAGAAAAGCGCGGTAATGCACCTAGGTCAGAAGTCCTACACGTCGTACTCCATGGGGGACACAGAACTACCAGATGTTAGGGAACAAAAGGAATTAGGAATTATTGTTAGCCATGACTTAAAAACAACGGCAAATTGTAATCGAGCCTCAGATAAGGCTTTTCGAAAGCTACAGGAACTTCGAAGGGCTTTTAAACGATTAGACGAGGGTATGTTCTAAGTACTCTATGCAATATATGTCAGGCCTCATCTAGAGTACTGCATACAAGCGGCGAGTCCATGTTTCAAAAAGGAGGCACATACCCTGGAAAGATTACAGAGGGTAGGAACGAAATTACTTAGTGGTATCTCACACCTTCCTTATGACATGAGGATGGAGCATTTAAATCTCTTCCCATTATCATATGGAAGGAGGAGAGGCGACTTAATTTCGGCTTACCGTATATTCAAGGGTGATTTAGTGATTGACCTTTCAAACCTCTTCTCTCCATCTAGGATACATTTACGGGGTCACCACAAGAAGGTGCTCAAACCGAGGTTAAATGAAATACGGTTGGAGTTTAGATTCTCACCCAGAGTAGTTAAAGATTGGAACTGCTAAACCTGAGGCAGTAGTAACAGCTCCATCGGTGAACACTTTCAAAGAGAAACTGGATCTCTGCAGAGATATATATCGCGAGGATTAATGTGGTGATTGACAATTTCTATCTCTGTATTGTTTAAATACTTACTGTTGACTGTTGATATGTTTCTTATATGAATTGCATTCTAATTCCGCTAAATACAAATTACTGATTGCTGCCCTCTCTGGGTTTTGATTAGATTCCTATAATTCCGTCATCCCGGTATACTAATACTTCAAGTACAATAAATTACTACAAATTGGCGTCGCGATGGAGCTAAGTAACCTGGGAAAATTTCCTCTTAATGGTTCTCCGCGGGAGATTGCTGATTATTTGGAATGCTTTGATGCGTGGTGCATTTCCAAGAATGTTCGGGATGATAAAATACCTGCTCATTTCATCACCGCTATTGGGCTTGATGCATATAGCCTGGTGAAGAATCTGGCGTTTCCAGATAAACCCATTTCTATGCCATATGCTAAGCTCCGTGAACTTCTTATAGATCACTTCCATGTAACTACTTTTGAGACCAGAGAGAGGGCTCAGTTCAACAAACTGGTACGTTCTCCCAATCAGAAGATAAGAGACTTTATACTACAACTCCAAATTCAAGCCTCAAAGTGTAATTTTGGAGATCAGCTGCATACACAACTACGTGATCGTCTAATTGCTGGAATCAACATTCCTAAATTAGAGAAAGAGTTAATTCAGATTCCTTCTTGTACGTTTCAAACTGCTAAAGATGTATGTATTACATATGAAGATGTCAATAATGAATACTCTGCTCCCACTACGTCAGTGTCTGATGTTATGCTTTCTAAAGTCGAAAATACAAGTGGTCATGGAAAGCAATCCAAACTGCCGTCCACAGGTAATAGAATGCAGCGAGAGATCAAAAACATTAAACCGTGTTTATCCTGTGGAAAGTTACATCTACGAAGCACTTGCCGTTTTCGGAGTGCTAAGTGCTATAAATGTGGTAAAGTTGGACACATCAAGACGGTTTGCAGGAGTTCGAGTACTTATGTTGCTCAACATTCTTATAATTCTCCCAAGCTGTCTAGTAAAATGGAGTCTATGTGTCTTTCAACTTTTCAAAATACTCAAGCTAATCCAACGAAAACCTCCACTGCAAGTTCAGCAACGCAAGTATCAACTGTATTCAAAAATGAGGTAGCTAAGTTGCAATGTGAACTGTCGAAAGCACGAAAAGACCTGAATGAGATGAGAGAGCAACTGAATAAAATTGAGGAATTACTGCATATGCATAGACTACGTCTGGTGAATCCAGAGCATACAAGTTCTTGTGAAAGTCCTGCAAAACTATTCAAATCTCGAATTCTCAAAAAGCATCTGATGTCCACTACTTCTAATGTACATTATTACAAAGATAATAACTACAGACCTTCTGTTGGAATTATACTACAAAAAATGGGAAATCGAGTGGTGAAGATATTAGACATCAAAGATCACTCAGTTCATAACGGACACCTGGACAAAGTGACAATAAATGAAGTAGGTCGTTCCAATTATAATATTATTGATTCCGCTAATAATCCTGATTTTGTAGATAATTCAGAAATAAGTCCAGATAGTACTGATGAAAATAATATCACAGAATCAGTTAGCTCGAAGCTACTTGCAAGCAAACCGAGACATCGTTATAAATACGCGAGGAGATATTCGAGGTGTGGCGGATGTGGTGATTGACAATTTCTATCTCTGTATTGTTTAAATACTTACTGTTGACTGTTGATATGTTTCTTATATGAATTGCATTCTAATTCCGCTAAATACAAATTACTGATTGCTGCCCTCTCTGGGTTTTGATTAGATTCCTATAATTCCGTCATCCCGGTATATTAATATTTCAAGTACAATAAATTACTACAATTAACATAGACAACAAGAGCCTTCTATCCTCATAATCTGAATCTGAATCTGTACCCATTAAAAGGAGTGCTATTTCAAAAGCAATGTAAATCACTAATTACCTTTCCTAAAGCCTGATGTATAAATAATAATATAATCCACCACTCTAACATTGGATGCTACTGTCAGTTAGATTACTTTATACAAGCAAATCATAAAGCCAAATCTTTTAAAGAGGTAAGTGTTAGCTGAATATTTCGTAGACATTAAATATATTTCTAGAAATCTAATTTACGCTATATAAAAATCCACATTTCATAAAAGCGTACAACTCACCATTTCATATCTTCTGTTTCCTGAGAAACAGGATGGTGGTGGTTCCTTATAGTCATTGGGTGAATTCGCTCCGCAACAGCCAACCTAATAATAAATAGAAATTTATATTCATACACCATACCCCACTTTGAATCGAATCGACCAGAACACTTAAGTCGGGATTATTACCATATTCCCTCACAGCATCTTCAATAGCTTTTCTGAACTTCTCTTTAACCTAAGAATTCAGTGAAAATTTGACTGACTGAATCAGAGTCATACTTTGTCTTTTAACACAAGAGCTCCAATGCCCCCAGCAATTTCACATAATATAATTATAAAAAGCACTGTGGCATACTACAAAGGTAAAGTCAAGTAATTTGAACGTACGAAAGTGAGTTTATAGACGCTCTCATTACAAGCTCCACAACATCCAATTATTCCTATGAAGAAAATAATCACTCCAAGAGTAGTTATGAAAACGGCTAGACCATAGATAGCAACGTCAACGTCTTTAGAGTATTGAATTATAGATAAGCATGAAATTATTCCAATAGTGACGAGTGCCATTCCACATATCTATGCAAATAAAATTAACTTTCGAAACCTCCAAACATACAAAAACTAAAATATTGGCAATTATAAGTACAATTTGAAGACATCGTTGACCACAGGTTAGGGTAGACATATTACCAACACGATTTCACCTTAAGACCTTGTGGTCCCGCTTCCAATGTTCAACTCAGCCTTGTATTATGAGATCCAATATGACAAAACAAAATTAAAAGTAAACATTCCGAGAGCCTGCCCATCTGGTAACCGATGTAATTTCCACTAACCAGTGTACACGGAAATTCTCGCCTTTTGATTGTAAGGTAAAGGTTCCCGGTCGTCGGCAAACTTCTGCGTAGCTCGTGCCGCCACTCGACTGTCGTAGCTTTGGTTGACTCTAAAAGGAGTAGTTCTGGGATTAATTGAGTGTGGTTTGTAGTATGAATTGTGTTAAGACTGTTACTACTGTGAATGGAGTTGATCCTTTCACCAATTGGTCCTTCGGTATCGTCGTCAAAAGAAAAGGGATAATAATAGATATAATTAATGTAAGTTGTTCAGACCGAAATACAGAAAAAGAAATAAAGAAAACGAAAAAATAGACAGCTAATCAAACATGAAGTTGATACATGCGTATACATATATGAAAATATATATAACATCAGTAATAATAAGTGTAATAAAAGTTGTCAGAAGAGTAAGACCGGAGAGAATGTAAAGAAGTAAAACGAAAAATTTAGTTGTCTACCCCTGAATGGTATGTGGGATTTTAAGGGGATAGGCCATCTTGACACATTCCTTGTGTTGCTGCATGATTGTCCAGCCTTGTCTTAAAGGTGTCCGCAGACGGCGCCATAGCTACACCTGCCGGTAAGGAGTTCCAGGGATGGCAAACCCTCAATGAGAAGAAGTGGAAGGGCACCCGGGTCCTTGCCCTCCGGTGAGCTATCGTTCTCGGATTTTCACGGGGAAGCCTATACGTACTCAGTGGCAGAACACCGTTGTTTGGGTGATTCCCGTTATTCGTTATCTCATAGGCAGTAATCAAATACCCCTAAGCTGACGGTAGCTAAGCGAATAGGCCTAATTTCTTTAGCCTTTCATCATATGGTTTATTTCGGAGACCAACCACTCCTTTTATCGCCCGTCTTTGGACTCTTTCGAATAGGTTGGCATCTTCTCTAAGCAGTGGGGGCACAATAACATTATGCACTTCAAGGTGTGGTCTGGCATATGTTTTGTACAATCTTATAAAGAGCTCAGGAGTGAGTGCACCTAACTGTCTATGTGTGAAGTGTGTGACCGCATATGCCCCCGCTACGTCTCCCGTGTAATTTACGCTTGTGTCCACTTTTTCCGTTAGAACTAGACTTAAATCGCGCTTCGATGCTGTGCAGGACAAGCTTTCATTGAACAGGGTGTAACTTGCGTCCTGCAGTGGGTTTGTTACACAGGATCTGCCTTTCCTGAAACCGTGTTGGGCTTCATGCAGTACATTAGATCTATCGAGGCAATCCCTGATGTGATCATCAGTAATACTTTCCAGTACTTTTGATACCACTTGGAGTAGAGCTGTTGGTCTATAACTATTGGCATTTTCCCTATCCCCACTCTTGAAGATCGAGGAGGGGACGGCTCTTTTCCACTCCCTTGGCAGCTTCCCTAAATCCATCGGGTGTTGAAACAAGTCGCAAAAGGGTCCACAGAGAGCTTCGGTGCACTGTTTTAGAACAGATGGCCTGATGTCGTCGCAACCTGGGGATTTCCCAGGTGTGAGTCGCCGTAGCTTCCTCAATACTATTACCTAGTTTATTTGGGGAGTAGCCACTAGGTCCTCCTCCGGTGAAATGGTAGCGTCACCGTTCTAGTCCGTACTGGTAATGCCCACATTACTGTTTAGCTGTTTGGCAAAGGCTAAATTGAATGTCTCCGCCATCTCCAGGCTAGTGAGATATTGACCGATTGGGCTTACCAAGGAACATGCCCCTGGTTGGTTGGTTTACTTTCCGAGATGAATCGATACAAGTTTTCGGGGCTTGCTAGGAGTTCTCTGGCAAGACTAGCCTGGAATGAGCTCCTGTCTCTGCCCCGCTTCCTGAGCTCTAGGTGTGCGTCATGGTTGGTCTCACTCTTGGTTATGCAACACGTTAATCAAGCCTTCCGCCCTGCTTGGATAATACGTTGTGTACCTCTTTTCAGCCATGATGACTTCTTTTTGGACTGTGTTGTGACGAAAAAGACAGTATCCGAGGTTGTTGTATGAATAATCTCTTTTACCACTTCCTAACGTTCATCCAAAGATAAAGCATCCCATGCTAAGGGCCATTCTGCGTCGTAAAAAATCCTCCACAATTCAGCATAGTCCGCCTTGCTATAATAATAATAATGCTAATAATGATAATTTATATTTCGTATAAACGGGTAAATTTACAAAGAATGCATACTGTTTTTACAGCCACAATCAATTATTCCATAAATTACAATCCCGAAGTATCATAAATTAGCACTTTTTCAAAAGTTTGAATTGTTCAATTTTTGTGCAAGCAATCAGAACAGGTTCACTTCAGTGTTAAATTTTTAACCCTTCATTCAGGTCAACACCAAAGTTGAGCGACATCCCGAACTTCGTTCCGTTTCCTGCTGATAGTTATGGTCAACCAGTGAACAGAGTATATATGGGTGAGTGCTATGCAGCCACGTGATTGAACGCTATTTCAGGAAGAGAAGAAATTTCTGCGCAGCTGCAAAATGGTACAAAATGCAATTATGAATAACACATTATTGAAAACATATTTACAAGATAAATACGAGGAGAAGAAGAAGCTATATAGTGCTTGAAATGATAGTGTACATGGTCGCATAACGTCACACATTAGGTGCTCACGGAGAAGAAGATCGAAACCAGTGACTGCATGGTCGCTACTTCCTAGAAGAGTCATGGTCTGGACCTTTTTAACGAGCAGTTGGTCACTAGTTGGAATGTAGTCTAGTTTCGATGACTCTCCACTAGGGCCCCATCTAGTGTCGTCTCCAATATTCTCAGTCAGTCAGTCCTGTATATCGAATGGTTTGTAGCATATTTCGACCGAATTTTCCCTTAGCATACCTGATCCAAGGTTCGGTGATGGGGCATTGAAATCTTCAGCTATGGTGATTTGGTCATATCCCAAGTCCCGTCACCCTGTGATGGTGCTGGGCGGTAGCTGGCTGTGCTCTGCTCTGAGTGGTAGATGCCACTGAGTAAATGCTTGGTGCGGCCTACGGTAAAACGACACCATATAGAGTCCGGGAGTTCGATAAGTGGGGGCTACGTTGCGCGTACACATTTAAGTTGCCTGTCAAAGTATATAGAAACTCCCCCTTCCTTATTGTCCTTGAAAATCCTGACCAGAACCATATTACATGTATTGATTTCGTTATGGGCAATAGTGAGTGTTAGCAAGGTTTCAGTAAGAATGATTATTTTAAGGTGTACGTGGGACTGGAGTCTTTTGAGTTCTCCTACTTTTCCTGTCAGTCCTCTCACATTTCTGCATAGGCAGCTGACAGTGAACCTCACAGCCTCAGCGTGTTTTGCGGTGGTTGACTTTGTGTTGTCTGCTGCTAGGGGACTTAATGTTCCGACTAGTTGACCGATTTCTATGGAACCGGCCTGTTGTAGTCTCTTCCAATGAATTCAGGTAGGACACTTGAGTGACACAGATTGTTGTTCTCAGTACCGCACCGCTTTAGTGTCACTGGGGCTTGGAGACGTATTGAGGCCTCAGTTTGCTGCCTCCTTATGGTTCGGGCGTCCTCCCATTTTCCCCTTGGTCTCGTACCACCATTGAAGTACTATGGCCAACTGCTCCTGGGAGTTGAATTTGTCACTTGGCAGCCTTTGGAAACCAATCAGCGTGAGATGAGCGGGGCGAGGTAGTCGGAAAATGGAGATCTCTCCAAAAAGCAAAGGGTCATCTGAGAAGATAGTCATCTCCAGTGCTGCACGTCATGCATGTGTTCTTCACAAGCAGTGCCCGTCTTCAGCTCCGGAACACCGTGTATGACCATAGAGGTAGAAGGCATCAGTTCTGGTAACTCCCTCGCCATTTGCCTGTTAGCCAGTGTAACCTGTAGTGTGTGGGCAGCCCTGTGCAGCCTGCAAAATTTCCCTGAACTAACGTTCAGACCTAATTTATTGCACAGATTGGACCACTGTTCCTGATCAAATAGGACCCGTCGTCTAAGCAAGCTATCCTTGCTCACAGGTACATTAAAAAGGATAAGAGAATTAGACCGATTGACTCTAGACTTAGGTTTGGCTTTTAGCCACTTGTGTCCCTTTGCAGGATCAGTAACCTTAGGCTTCATCAGGTCTTGATCAGCCTTTGCTGTGTTGCCAAACTTGCTAGTGGATGCAAGTGGTGCTTCGGAAATTCTATCTTTCCCTGGTGTTGTAGGTGCAACCTCGGAAGTCTTCACTTTATGAAACTGGCATTTCCAGTCAGTTGGAATGGACTATCCTTCTTACTGTCTTTACCGGGTTTTTGCTGAGTGGTGTTAGCGGGTGGGGCGCTTCATGAGACTGTGTCGAGACACAAGAGTGGCGTGCTGCCTCTGCTATTCGCAGACACGCTGTGTGGGACTGTGCCAGGGCGACAAAGTGGGCATATATAACGGAACTATGGGCATGGGTTATTTCGCATAAACTCATCATATGGTTTCAGCGCCCATTTACCACAACGGCAGTGTACCCATCATTTGCAAAACTTGCATTAAAATGTTGAATCCGTTTCAGAAACGATAACACTGTATGCTTAACATTTGTCTCCCTTCCTTGATGACGCTTTCGGGGTCTAACGGCGTCTTGGGCGTTTCCTTTTTGTTTCGCCGTGTCTCACGCACTGGTTTTCAATGGATGCAGGTGTACTACCATGTCCACCTGCTACTGCCTGTGCCGTTTCAGTGCTAGACTGTGGCAATTTTTTCCTTCACGTTCCCAGTGGAACATAGGGCATCAAGCTAGTGGCTTGAAGTTTCTGCAGCAGTCTTCATTTTACGGGATGGGGTTGCTTGCCTCATGCCCAACCTTTCCTCTTTACCAGCATTATTTCTGGCTTAGCGAGGTAAAGGTGTGCGTCGGTCGGAGATCGAACCCCGGACCATGTGCATGGTCGGCGAGCGTCCTAACCGCTATGCCACCGACGCAATGCAGGCGTAGTATCA